ATAGGCTGGAGCTGTCTCCCTTGTAAGCTAGGGAAACTGAGGCTAGAGCTGCACAGACTGGCTGATTTCAGTGATAGGTACAGCCTTGACTACCAGAAAAATGAATTATCAGGTAGGGTGTCTGTGGGGATAAAGAGGTGGCTGGGGATGATCAGTTTGGGGTCAGGGTCCTCCTCTTGGGGGTTGGGAGGCTTGAGCAGTTCCAGCTTGTTTCTCCCTCCATGAACTCTCCTGCTGTGAGATTCCCTACCTCTACCACCACATCTAGTCCACGGCTCCCCAGCCAATCAGAAGACCCTGATATGGATAGGGCTGGCTTGGGCCTTAGCAGTTATGGCAGTTGAAGGCCCTGGTTGAGCAGCAGGAGTTCTGGACAGGGGCTTAACAGATTCTAAGGGCCAATCACAAATTTTAATACCACTTGCTTGTGACCTCATGGCTTCTGTATACACGCAGTCTGTGTCCAAAGTCCCTGATCTTCCTCTCGGGGTCTCATAAGCTACATTCAGAGATACCTGCCACATCCATGGTCCATTCAGGTACAAAGGTAGCAGGGCCTTATGGCTACAGGATAGAGGCCATTTCCTGACTAGCTGTTAGCTGGGAACCACTTATAGATCTCAGTGATGCTTGCAGATCCTTGCCACGTCTTCGGACAACACAGCGGCTTTGAGAGTATCAAACCAGCAGAGAGTATCAGACCCCTTCAAATTTTGAGCACGAAGCTGTCTTGTGAGCTCACCCAATCAGGCCAGGTCTGTCCATGTATCTCCCTCAGGATGAATTCAGTCAGCTAGCCAAACAGGTCCTGGGTCCATGATAGATATATGTAAGGTGCCTCTGACATTTTTGTACTCCCCTAAATGTCAGTTGTCATATTCATCTTGACAGTTTAATGGCTGAGCCACCACTCCAGCCCCATTATCAAATTCACCTTAAAAATCATTTTAGCTCCCTCGATGTCTACCATCTGCCACACGATAGCCGGCATACCCAACATGCATGAGGTTTGCCCACTGTAGGGGGCAGGTTACGTGGACGTACCCACCAGAAGTAGTATTTGGGAAAGGGTGAAGGTACACAGAGCTCTGACCACCAGAGAGCCAGAGGGGAAGCATGGAAACAGGGTGACTGGCAGGGCCACTGGGGTGTCTCAACATTCCCTATCCTACCTGACAGGTCTGGAGTAGGACTGACTGGCTCCAGGCAGACCATGTTCTACGCAGAGGTGACAGACGCCCAGCGAGGTGGGCCTGGTGGAGGCCTGGCTGAGGAGGGAGAACTCATCGAAGTGCTCCATCTGAGTTTGGATGACGCCCAGGCCTTTGCAGACAACCCTGACATCCCCAAGACTCTTGGTGTTATCTTTGCCATCTCTTGGTTCTTTAGCGAGGTGGCTCCCCATTTGAGTCTCCAGTGAGACCCTGGGGCTGGAGAGGTCTATCCCAGCCACTCAGACTCCTGCCCTACACACTCAATAAATTTTACTGATGTCCGCTGGCTTTGAGCACTATGACCTGGGGTGAGGAACACACCTCTCGGAGGGTAGCGAGGTCTCCATATAAACCCTCTGTTCCTCCTCTGATGGCACAGGTGGATGCCGTGGGAGGCAGATGGCTGTCAGCAGGCTGGCACAACAAGCCTGGGGTATTGTCAGACAGAATGTCCAGCTTATAAGTGGACCAGGCTGGGTGTTCAGCCTCGGATTGGGCCGCTATTCACATGCATAACATGAACGGTGTCTTCAGGAGTAGGGACAGGCTGGCCTCAGTTGAGAGGAAATGGGCACAGCACTGCACATTCTGGAGAATGTGTACTCCCTGATCTGGGCAGAAACAGGGTCCTTGCCATGCCTGGGGCTGGACTAGAACCACACTCCCACTGCCCAGGAACTCAGATCTGGTGATATTCTGTATCAGGTGTCTCTAGTACCCTCTCTGTGACTTCTGGGCAATAGGAAGTTGGGAGGGGATCTCACTTGGCCTGCAGGACATAAGTAATGTCTGTAGGCTAGGTCACCATGACGATCCAGGGCAGTCATCTTGGCATGGGCAGCCTGGTTCTTGTGCAGAACTGCCTTAGGTGTGTGACAGCTCGAAATGCTGCTGGCCTAAGGCTCTCTGCCCTGAGGGTGGGGCTACATGCATAGCTTAGAGTCTTTCTACAGGTCCCCAGAGTGCCTCGTGTAGATGAACAAGCACTCTGTCCCACCTAGTCTGCTGTGTGAACCACAGGTACATATTTAGGGCCCGTCTGTGAACAGTGTGCTAGGGTAACGTCTGAGGGGATCTGTTGGTTGGCCTGTCCCAGGATAAGGTCAGGCTTCAGAACAGTGGCCTGGCTTCAAACCCTCTAGTCAGCATCGTGTATGACTTCCTTGGGTCATGGACCACTGATTAGTATTCTCCTACCTCCCCAGGCAGTGAGGTAGCCTGGAGTGGCGTATCCTTCCCGCTGTCATCAGTCAGTACAGTGAAGCTCAGGTGATGAGCTATCTGAGCATGTCCTAAGGCTCTGTGTCCCAGCAATTCCCCCTGGATGACACCAGGAACTGAAGTGTTGGAGTCCTAATTGTAGTCATCGACACAGGCATGCTGAGGTAGAATGGGTGCTCTCTCTCCTCTCTCCCGCTCCACCTTGGAAGATGAGGGACACGGGCTTCACCCTCCTCCCTGTGCCCCAGGTGGGTGTGACATTGAGGCACCACCCTGAGGAGCCTGTGACATGTGGGCTGCTCCCCTAGCACCACCTGTATGCAAATGCTTGCAGCTTTAGGTGGGGCCCAGTCAGACAAGCAACACAGCGTTTAGTAAAGGGTTCTTAGGTGTGTAGTGTGAATCCAGGAGCTAAATATGGGGAGGGGGGCACGGCACGGTGATCCAGCTTCGCCCTGATGTTTCCGGGACAGGAGTCTACCCAGCCCCCTACCATCTATGCCCTTTCCCGACTTTCTGCAGCTGCTCAACGCCCACCATCAGAATCCTGTGGCTCTCAGGGTTGCCCTTGGGTGTTTGCTGTCGGAGGGGCTTCTAGTGGGCACTGAGCGGGGGAGGGCTGGCCTGAAGGATGGGTTTGAGAGAGTCAGGGCACCTGGGTTTGGGTAGAGTCCAGTCCCTCACTCAGATCTTCAGTCTGACGGGCAGGTCAGCAGGCACCACTCCTGGGCCTAATGGAGCTGGCATCGATTTCCCGGCTTGGGTTGGGGGGGCTGTAACCGGAAACTCCCCTCCCTGGATGCTATATTTAGCATCACAGGACATGGGCGGAAGCATAGCTCACTCCAGAGCCTAGCCAGCTCTGTCCAAATCCTGGGCTGCCTCATCCCTCAGCCTGGTCCAGAGGCCCCTCTGCTTGTCCAGCTCAAGCTAAGCTCCCGTTCAGAAAAGGCCCTGACCCCTAGTGCCAGGGGTCTTAGAGAGAACCACCAGGTGGGAGGCCAAAGGGTGTTGTGCTCAGTGGGGGTGATGCAGGCCTTCCTGAAGGCAGGACATCTGACCCAAGAGGGTCAGGTCAGGAGTCCTGACTCCCCAAGTACACTGGAGGCAGCATGAAGGAGAGCACAAGGTTTGAAGGGTTTCCGTAGCAGTTCTGCCCAAGAACTGCAGAACTCTGCGGGGAGGGCATTTCCATGGGAGGGTCCCTTACCTTTCACACCTTGAGCATTTCCTGGTCATCATCAGGCAAGGTTGTGGCTCCCAGAAGACAGGGAGGAGGAGGAGGAAGAGGAAGAGGAGGAGGAGGAGGAGGAAGAGGAGGAGGAGGAGAAAGAGAAGGAAGAAGAGGAAGAGGAGGAAGAGGAGGAGGAGGAGGAGGAGGAAGAGGAGGAGAAGGAGGAGAAGGAGGTCATTACCACTGTGGGGATGACACCTGGACAAGGCAGGTGTTGCCCAGATAGTGAATATTCTGCCCTAATATTCGCCAACTGTTCTGGCTAAGAGGATCCAGGTCTCACTCACAAAGCGCCTGGATAACCAGGAGAGGAAGACTATATCTCCTCCCTGCTTTCCAAGGTATGCTGGTGGCATATCCGCCTTGAGCCAGTGTATAAGGTGAATCCTGTGTCTTAGCCAGATGGAAGAATCCTTCCACTGCACCCACAGCTCTGAGCTCAGGGGGAGGGGCAGGTAGGCTGAGTCAGGCAGCCACACAGAAGCCCTTGTCAGCACACCATGGCTCTGCCTGCTGGCCTGTCCTCCCACAGCTGGCTGACAGCAGGAAACAGAGAGGTCCACAGGGAGGGGCTGCAGCTTCATGCTATACTCCCTTTCCTTAGCCCCTGCACCGTTAGCCATTATCCTGACTATGCCGGTGCCTCTCAACATCACCCCGGCGTCACCCTGGCCTCCCCTTACATCTCTCCATGCCGCAGCCAGGGACCTTGTGAAAAATGTAAGTCATGGTGTGGCACATCCCAGCCCTGGTCTTTGTGACTTCTCATTGATGTCAGCGGGAAGACTGCAGGATTGTCACCCGCTTTGGTTGGGCTATCTTGTCCTTACAAGCCCTTGTCAGGTTCTCTCAGCCCCAGAATGTCGGCACGTTGCTCCTTCTCCTTACCTGGGTCTCCACCCGCTGGGTCTCATAGGGGGCTCCCACCTAGTTTGAACTCTCATGGTTTGCTGGTCTACAGGATATGTCCATGCCATCTTTAGTCAGAGGCCCCTGCAGGTGGACCAGGGCTGTGGCTGCCTAGTTCACAGCTTGGCTGAATGCCTCAGAGGTGGTGAACACAGGCAAGCTGGAAGCTAAGGCTCTGTGTCCTTTGTGGCCTCCTGTCTCCAGGCAAGAGGGAAGGTGAAGCTGAATTTGCTATGGGAATGTCTCTTAAAGGATGCAAACAACAGGACGATTCTTAATATGCACCAATTTCCTTATTTGGGGTGGGGGAGGGGAGCGCTGTGTGTAGCCAGGCCTGGCTTGTGTCTGTCCCATCACCTACCCTACCTGCCTGTGGGTTCCCTTGGGCTCAGGTTGGAGTGGGAGCACTCTAAGCAGCAAACATGGGGGATACTGGCTTGCCCTTTCAGGCCTACTGCTTCTGCCGGAGATCCTGGACGGCCATTACACGATGGTAGGGCAGGCAAACTGGATCAAGGCTTTCCCGTGGCTTGGCTCTCTGTGTAGGCTGCCTGGCACTACCCAGGAGAATGGGTAGTACCCCTGACCCACTTTTCTTCTGCCGTGCGTCTGATTCACCAGTATCAGAACTTCTCCCTTTCCCGGGAAGTCCTGTTTGGCAGTGACTTCGTCCAGTTGGGGAGACTAGGGAGAGGAGCTTTGGGGAACATGACAACCCAGTTATTGTGGGGTTTTGAAGGGCAGAGTAACACATCACCAATCACTGAGAGTAATAACCACTGGCATCGGAAAGGGGCCTGCTGAGTGGAAGAAAGGCAGCTTGTAGACAAAGAATCCTTGGTATTGACATGTGGAAGAGGAAATGATCACCTAGGAACAGGGTCAAGAAATGGTAGTGGAGGGTTGGGACGCCCAGGCCCTGTGAGCTGGACTCCCAGACTGTTGGAAAGTCCTCTTTGGGTAGCTCTCTTGACATGGACCACTATCCTTTCCCGTTTCTTTCCCCTAAATTTGGACCTCTGTCCTGCACGTCCCTTGAAGGTAAGAGAGTCTGGCGATGGCCACCTCCTCAGCTTGGAACTGAGAACAGCCCGCAGGAAGGAGCATTTGTTGACTGGCTACTCAACCTGTGCGCTTGGAGGAAGGGAGGGCTGAGCACCGGAGGGGAGCAGCGCCCCCTGTAGCCTGCGTGAAAGTGGCAGGAGGCTGCGGAGCTGGGTGGGGGGGAATTCCTCGGGGGAAGGGGGCGCACCAGGAGTTAGGCTCCCTCGGGTCCCAGGGCCCCACCCGCTCTGAGTGGGGGCAAAATCCTGATGTGTGCAGCAGGCAGCATCTCCCTTGGGACCAAGAGCAGCGCGAGAGTGGCTGCGCTCTGATGGGAGGGGACCAAGGCAGTGACCTCAGGGGGCGCCCCACTCACTCCCAGACTGTTAACCCGGGCGAGAATTCTGGAGCAGAAAAGGCCCCACCTCAGCGAGCCTGGGCGCAGGAGAAGCCACAGCCCGGTGGCCCCGCGCCCCGCCGCCCCGCGCACAGACCGCACCCTCGCCTCCTTTAAAGCTCGGGGTGCCCCCAGCACCCCCCACGGCCCCACCCCACCGCGAGGCCCCGCCCCCTCATGCATATGCAGGTGCGCGGGTGACGAATGGGCGAGCGAGCTGTCAGTCTCGTCCCGAACTTGTTGGCTGCGGTGCCGGGAGCGCGGGCGCGCAGAGCCGAGGCCAGGACCCGCCGCCGCCGTCGCCGCCGCCGCCGGGTGGGAGCCGGGCCGGCCGCCGGAGAGCGGCTGCAGTAAGCCGGAGCCGCCGCCTCCCCTGCACG